AGGAAAAGTGAATAAAGAATTGTATGTAAAGTTATATTCTAAGGAAGGAGAAAAAGATATCTACAGACTTGCTCGCCTTCGTGACCGTAGGACTCAAGATATCGGAAAAGTTAAGTGTGTGAAGGATGTCGATCAAAGGGTACTAATGGACGATGAAGAAATAAAAGAGAGGTGGAGGTCATACTTTGATACCTTGTTCAACGGGAATAAAGTCCAAGGTATTGATGATCTTACTATACCAGAGTGTATGTTAAATAGGGACTTCGTGAGAAGGATTCAAACAACAGAAGTTAAAGAGGCTATGAGAAAAATGGGCCGGAAGAAAGCAGTGGGCCCAGATGGCATACCGATCGAGGCTTGGAGAAGTTTGGGAGAGAAAGGCATCGAGTGGCTAACACGTTTCTTCAACATGATTTGGAGAGACAACAAAATGCCAGTGAGTTGGCGGAAGAGTACTCTCATTCCCTTATTTAAAAATAAGGGTGATGTGCAAGAATGTGCTAACTATCGAGGGATTAAGCTTATGAGTCACACCATGAAACTTTGGGAGCGAGTGGTTAAGCAAAGACTACGTAAAAGTGTGAAAATTTCAGAGAATCAATTTGGTTTTATGCTTGGATGCTCAACAACTGAGGTCATTCACCTTCTTAGACAAGTTGTGGAGAAGTATAGAGACACTAAAAAGGATCTGCATTTGGTGTTCATTGACTTAGAAAAGGCATATGATAGGGTACCTCGAGAAGTTCTTTGGTGGGCCTTAACTATAAAAGGCATATCACGTAAGTATATCAGCATCATCATGGATATGTATGATGCTTGTACTACAAGTGTCCGCACTAGTGTAGGGAGGACCGCAGAGTTCCCTATTACTATTGGAGTGCACCAAGGATCTGCTCTGAGTCCTTTCTTATTTGCTTTAGTCATGGATGAATTTACGAAGTCAATTCAAGAAGATATACCGTGGTGCATGATGTTTGCCGACGATATTGTATTGATTGATGAGACACAATCCGGTGTTAAAGCAAAGTTGGAAGTATGACGACAAACATTGGAGAGCAAGAGTTTCAAACTAAGCCGAAGCAAGCCTGAGTATATGGAGTGCAAGTTCGGTGGAGGTAGAAGCGGTAGCAACAGTGGGATTACTCTTGATGGTAAGGAGATACCGGTGTGTGATATGTTCCGTTACTTGGGATCCATAATTCAGAAGGATGGTGAATTAGATGGAGATGTATATCATAGAATCAGAGGTGGGTGGATGAAATGGAAAAGTTCTTCAGGGTTTCTATGCGATCGAGGTATGCCGACTAAATTGAAAGGCAACTTTTATCGTACAGCAATTAGGCCGGCATTAATGTATGGTGTAGAGTGTTGGGCGGTGAAGCAATGCCACATTCAAAAGATGAGTGTGACAGAGATGCGTATGTTGTGTTGGATGTGTGGACATACCAGAAAAGACCGCCTGAGGAATGAGGTAATCAGACAAAAGGTAGGAGTAGCACCTATAGAAGATAAGATGCAGGAGTCTCGTTTGCGGTGATTTGGGCATGTGCATAGAAGACCGAGTGATGCACCTGTTAGACGACTTGAGGGGTGGGGAGAAGAGTCAGAGAAGAGAGGGAGGGGAAGACCCAAACAGACTTGGATTAGAGTAATCAGAACTGATATGCATCTTCTTGGGTTGGATGAGAGTATGGCTTTGGAGAGAGCAAAGTGGAGGGCGCACATCCATGTGGACGATTGATATCTTGTCTACCTTTCCTCTCTTGTTTCTTTTATCGTTTATCTTCCTTATCTTTTTATATTCTTATGTTATTTTTATCTTCTAGCTTTTTTATGTTCTTTTATTTATTTTTCTTTTATCTTGGTTATATTCTTGTGTTATTATTATCTTATATTTATGTATCTTTATTATATTCATTTTATCTTACTTTTTTTTCCTTTTCTTGTCCGCCTTCTCTTTTTGGCATCGATATCATAGATCGATTCATGTTAGCCGACCCCAAATTATTTTGGGATTAAGGCTGGGATGTTGTTGTATAATGCACTATACTCAAAAAATACAACGCTTTGAATCATTCTCATTTTTCATCTTAGATCGTGTTATCATTTGATCCTAATTCTAGGGTCTAATCCTATGAGAAAAATTTTTCCTGTGAGAAAAAGAATGATCCAAAATGATGCACAATATAGTTCACAGAGGTGCACATTTATGATTAAAACAATGCAAAGTTAAAATATGCACATTTGTGAAAAAATAAATGCACGATTCAAATGCATATTTTCTAATTTCTTGAGTATGATAATTCACATTTATGTTTCGCATATTGTCCGTAACTATTTTTAACAATATTTGTGTAAATTTGTTTTCTTCCATGAAAAATAATTCATCCTTGTCATAATATATTTTCTTTTTAAAATTAAAATGAATACTCAACTTTATTGTTTTAGGAGTGCACTCACATTGAAGAATTATGCAATTTTATCAATAACTATATGAATTCACAATGTGCATTGACAAATTTTGAAAAAATCAATTCGTCATGAGAGAATTCATAACATATTTTCTTCTTCAAATTAAAATGAAACAATAATAATGCATAGCAAAAACAATAACAGTGCATAGAAAAAAACTCTTTTTAAAAAGAAATATACTTGATTAAAAAATTACTTTCGAAGTTAACACTAATTTAGGAGTGCACCATCAATTTATAGTCCTAAAAAGGTACATGAATCTGGATAAAAGACAATAATAAAATTACTAGGAATTATGAAACCCAAGATATGTGATGTCGTGCTCTACATCTATATATGGAAAGAGTCTGAAACCATGAAAACACCAACGGCGGAGTGCTAAGCGGAAAAGTTAAACCGATAATAGAAGATCATCACCATAATAGAAGTTAATGATGAGGATGCATTCTTATTTCTCTCTTAAGATCTTATTCTCATTTGAACCTATATTATATATATATATATATATATATATATATATATATATATATATATATATATATATATATATATATATATATATATATATATATATATATAATATAGGTTTTGGTTCAAATAAGAACATGATCTTATTAAAAAATTGAGAATGAATCTGGACCGTTATATTTGCTTTATGTGAAATTCAATATGCATTAGATGAAGTTGTCATGTGTAATAAGTGAAATTGAAATGTGCAACACAAAGGGTACGATGTTGTGGCATTATGTGAAGCTAAATTGTGCATTAGGTGAATTTGAAATGTGCATTAGATGAAACTAAAATCTGCAGAACAAAAGGTACGATGTGATGTTATTTTTGTATGCCTTATTCTGCACATTTCAATTTCACCTAATGCACATAGGAGTTGAAATTTTTATTCTGCACATTTAAATATCGTCTATTGCACATTGCGGTTTCACCAAATGCACAATTTAGTTCCACATAATTCAATCCAACGGTCCAGATTCATTCCCATTTTTCTCCTAAGACCCGTTCTTACCGGAACCGCTCCCTATATATATATATATATATATATATATATATATAGGGAGCGGATCAGCTGAGAAGTGCCCTTAGGCTGAGAAGCTGCGAAGTCTAACTTATAAGCAAAAAACACGAACTTTTAACCAAAAAATCAAAACTTATAGACCTCCTCAAAAACACGAACTTTCTGCAAAAAAAAATTCCAGGTTTCTGGAGTTATTTTGACGCGGTGGCATTTTCGTAATTTTTTTGGAGGGGGTCTATAAGTTAAGATTTATCGGTTAAAAGTTCGTGTTTTGAGCTTATAAGTTAGACTCCGCAGCTTCTCAGCCTAAGGGGGACTTCTCACATGATCTTCTCTCTCTCTCTCTCTCTCTCTCTCTCTCTCTATATATATATATATATATATATATATATATATATATAGAAAAGATCAGGTGAGAAGTCCCTCTTAAAATGAGAAGTGAGAAGCAATCTCAGCCCTTGGATTTGCATCTAATCTTACAACGCAGTAAACTTATAGACTGAATATAGGAACTTATAACCAATAAATCATACTCCCTCCGTCCCTAAAAGGATTGCCAAGTTTGACCGGCATGTAGAATAATAAAGTAAAAACTGTGTGGTAGAGATTTGTGCAGAGGAGAGAGAAATAACAGGAGCCACAAATTGATTGATTAAAAGGGAAAGTGACAAAGTTTTTGGGACAACCAAAAAAGGAAAGTTGGCAAAGTTATAAGGGACGGAGGGAGTAACTTATAAAGCTCTCCATCATAATTACGAAAATGCCACCGCGTACAAAAATTTTCAATGTTTCCAGGCTTATTTTTTTGCGGTGGCATTTTCATAATTATTTTTAACGGGGTCTATAAGTTATGGTTTATTGGTTAAAAGTTCGTGTTTTTAGTCTATTAGTTAAACTTCGCAGTTCTCAGCCTAAGAGCACTTCTCAACTGATCCACTCCCTATATATATATATATATATATATATATATATATATATATATATATATACACACACTTCATTATATTTAAAATCTAGAAAAATTAAACAGAAGAATTAACACTTTCCTTGTATTTTAGTTTGTTTAGGTTCGGGTTGACTTCAATTCAAACAAATTTATCTACTCCCTCCGGTCCTTAATTAACTTTACATTTTTCTTTTTGGGTCGTCCCATATTAAACTTTACACTTCCTTATTTGCCTTATTTGGCAAACAAATTTACACCAAACAGTGCAAAACAGCGCCAAACAGTGCTAAACAGTATCAAACAGTGTCAAACGGTGTACTTTACAGTAAAGTCAAATTTATTTCCTTAATATATGTGAAGTCAAAGTGTAAAGTTTAATAAAGATCGGAGGGAGTATAATTTGTTAAACCAAAGTACAAAGCAAACCAAACTGATCCATTTTCAAACCGAACCGAAACCAAAGCGAAATACATTCGGCTTTTATTTCATACATTTTCTGCAAATCCGAATAAACATAAATTGAACTGAAACATAAAATGAAATGCCCACCCCCTAAATCATGCATTTGATAGAAGAAACTACTTAATTACAATTGAATAATGTAGTTTATTTACGTACCACACTGTCCTTGGTTCTTGACTGGAGTTACGGCACCATGTTCTACCCAGTCCCAGTTGTCCGGCCTACTCATCAAATCTTGAGTCGCAAATCGCTTATGCTCGTTTGAGGCTGAGGCATGCGACCCTTTGGGCTTGTGACCACTTGCATATATCTCACGGAACTCGCGGTTGGTTAAGTCTGCAAATTTGTTGATCCCAAGCTTGTAGCTCTGGTTGGGTTTGGCGTTAAATGCGTTTATGTAGTTCACATTTTCCTCGAATATTTTGAAACGGAGCTGGTGCTCTTCAAGATGTGAGTAATTCTTTCTGTGAAGACTCATCCATTCCTGGTGCATAGCTTCGATGGAATAATTAGAATCCTCAAGAGATAATGCCTCATCAATTCCCAAGAATATCATGATGAAGAGCAAGCAAAACAAGATTTTAGAGGCCATTATACACGCATATATAGTTTTTCTTCAATGCTCAAGCTGACGAATCGATCGGATATATATACATATATATTAAAAAAAGTTTATTTTATTGGTAAAAGTAAAGAGTACAATGCGAGAAGAGAAATGTGTGTGTGTGTTTAGGAAAATGTTGATATATGTATATATGTGTGGATGTAAGTGTGTGTGTCTATACACACACACAATAATTCCTGTCCGGCCACGTCAATTTGAGGTGGTTCCCGGTGTTATTTTAGGTTGAAATATTTTTGTGTATGTTCCTCATCAAGTCTAGTTCATCCATATCAAATTTTAGTAAAAAATTCAATCGGAAAGATCGTCAAATGATTTTTGCATGATAACTGCATTTATACGTATGCATCGAAGTATATTAGAATATGTGATTAAAGTTCTGGTGGAGGTTGAATCCATTATATTAGCCGGGGATTATGGAAACTAGGGTGCTTTTAATTTATTTATGCTAAAGTATATATGTACATATTCGACTTTAGGAAAAGTTTTTTTTTTATTCCGTATATTGTGGGATGCATTGACTACTCTGTAATTCCTAGCTACTTTATCTAGAATACTTTCATTTAGAATACTTTCAATGGACTCTTAAGCAAGTCCATCAACATTTCACAATCTAATTAGTCTGCAAAATCAGTTAATTAAATTTTTTACTTCACCGTGACTAATTTAAAATATTATACTCATTTTGCTTTAATTTTTTGAATTGGTTTTCATGAATATATCTGTTTCAAAACCTCAAGGTTCATAGTAGTTTTGCTTAATTTGGTTCTAAAACATATTTAAAGACTTATTAAATACAACAACATCCAAGCCTTAGTCCCAAAAGATATTGGGGTCGACTAACATGAATCAATACATGATATCACCACCAAAAGGAAAAGAACGGAAATAAAGAGATGAAAAAGATAAGCTATTATAAAAAGATAATATAAAAATAGATGAATATACATAAAAATGATAAGGAAGGAACATATGTGAAGAACTATATGTTAGCATTCCTTCAATTAATCAGCAAGGAATCTTTATTGTACTCTCTCATGCCCATAATATATGATAGGGAAGATGATACACAATTTGCATATATACAAGTAGCTTGCAAGGTGCAATATAATATTGGCACACAATTGGGTTAAAGTCCTGTGAAATGATTAAAAAGGGTTCACATTTGTCTCTTGGGGTCTTTCCAAATGCATATATAGTTGCTGTGATTTTCTTTAAGTAGTAGAAGAGAAATACCGTAGGTTCCCCTTTATTTTTCTTTCTTTCTGGCCTTATTATTGAGTGTACTTTGCCTCTCCCTATATAATTTACTAATACTTTGCTTTCAGCATTAGTTTTATTTTATGCTTAATGTCTGCTGAATTTGTGAATCCTGACCTTTTTATTATGCATCGGTTATGTTCCAAGAGTAAATTCCATCTTTCATAATGGAATAAAATCAAACTAATCTACTTTCATTTATCAGCTCTCATTTTCATGCAATATCAAAAGCCATAAATACCAAAAGTAATACATAAAAACTGTTAACTATCGTCAAACGGACATATATAGCTGCTGCAATTTTCTTTTGAGTATTAAACTCCTAACTGCAGCTCCTGACTACAAAAACTCTTCTGCAAATGCTAGACTAGAATTAATGTGAGTATTATAAATATTTAATAAGTTGGCAGTTCATATAGACCAGATCAGACTTCATGGTCAGGAGGATAATTAGCATTACTACTTATGATCTTAGTGTTCCCAAATCATAGCCCAAAAGGAATAGTTTGAACTTTGAATTTATCTTCTTTAAAACTTCAACTAAGTAGTTTTTTTTATTAATGGAATTTTTGTTTGTTTCACTACTTGAAATCTCAGTTTCACTACATTTTCTCCAAAGTTATACTTTGGAGATTGTATTTACGTTCAATTACTTATATAGTGATATTAGATTATTCCATTCTACTAATTTGGTATCAGTCACTTCAATTTACTATTCATAATACAGACAAATAGGTCTAAATGCTATTTTGATTTTAATCAACAAAATGTAACCCCAAATTAAATTTGAATCCATATACATGCCTCTTTCTTTATTAAATCAAAAATCAAGTTAAGGTTTGTCTAGATTGTATGAAAACTCCTACTTAGTCTTCGTTGAATGCCTAAATCTAATGTTGATATTAATGTTTTCTTTTCCAACAAAGTTATATATTGAGCTTTTATGCAGCTTATTTGATTTAAAGCATGTCTCTTCTAATTAGTTTGTTTTTTAGATTTGAAGTTAGCATATATACTGGATTTTTCTATCTTCTTTTGTTGAACTAAATACTCTGTTTTCCCAAGTATCTTTTTATACTAAATAAATGCTTTGAACGTAACTAAATAAATGTATTAGCTATTTGATCATACTTGACTGTAGTTAACTTTGCAGTCAGAATTGTGCTCAAAGGAATGATGTGAGATTGTCAAGGTAAAGTATTAACTATTCGACCCTAGGAATACTAATGCTACTTGAATGCAACTACAGATTTCATGGAAAGTGACAAAGCTGCATTTTTGTGTCTTAAAGGCTGCATTTTTAAATCTATTAACTGCTAAGTTAATACTTAATGTTTATATGTGATGCATCGTCTCAAGTAAGCAGTTCAGATTTTGTTCATCATTTCATTTTCTTAAATGAACTAAACTACTACCTCCGCCTAAAAAAACTTTGCTATTTTTAAAACTTTGATCGATTATATATTTTTATTGGAAATTATTTATAATATAAAAGTGACACCAAAATACTCTTTGTTAAAAGTACTTTCATAAAAGTATAAAATTTATAATTCCATAATCTTATACTAATCAAAATCATGGTCTAAAATTTATGAAATGACAAAGCTTTTTGGGACGGAGGTAGTATAATTTTGATAAACTAGCTCTTTAGTTTGTAATGCATCTAAACTGCTTCTCAGTTAATTTTATCAAATATGATCTCAATCTAAATAAAAAAAACAGCAACTCTTCAGCCTCTCATAAGGAGTTTTATAAACTGCCTCTCAACACTTGCACAAACTCAATTGCTTGCAACCATGAACCTGATGGTAAGTCGAAGGGGGTCTGAAAATTCAACTTTGCGGCAGCCAGAAGTTTTTGTTGAGCTTAATGGCATTGGTCTTAGTAGTGTCACAATTTCATTCCATTTGATATTGCAATGAAGAAATTTGGAATGCAATATCATTCCATATTTCCATTTCAACCATTTCTTCTTTGAAATTTAACATATTTCAACATATTTCTTGATTTAGGGTCAATCTGTCAAGCAGATACAATGGGTTTGAGTAACTACATTGAGGATATAATGGTCTGCAATATCATTTCCATTTGATGAATAACAGAGATCGAGAATATAGAACTTCACAGCTTATTATGTCATCCAAAAAGTATACATTCTAATAATTCTATATATTGTTGTAGCATTATACATTCTCTAGCCCCCCAAAGTACATTTTTTCCCTTTATTTATTCCATATCTGCTATAGGCAATTTGTCCCATGCATTAAGTGTCTTCCAGGTGAGAAAGAGTGGTGGTCGAGACACCCTCAAGCTGGAAACAAATTATGAATCTCCCAAGGTTTTTTCTTAATTTCAATCTTGACATTACCATTTAAAAATTTGAGTAAGATTTTTTCTGTTGACTCTTTTTTGAAAAATGTTTGTATCTAATAGGTCACTGGCGGAGGATGTCACGTCCCGGACCTAGCCGGACACGTCAACAACCCGCCGCACAGTACGAATAGTCAACCGCAGTCCAACTCATCCATACTATACAAGGCGTCATGAATATCATTCACACATAGTACATCCATAAACAAACATAATGTAAATCATTCATTTAAAACAGCGGAAACAACATTACAAGTGTACAAGCCACACTTGGCAAACATGGGTATACAAACCCCCGAAATGTATATTCAGAAAATAATATCCATGAGAATTTTTCATATTGTTTTCAAAACAAGAACGGAAGAAGCACGAACCAAGTCTTCTTCTCAGAAACTTCCCGAAACAGTGGCTGATAGTAGCAACCTTCAAGTTCTACCTGAAACTGTGAGGTGGCCTCCCCCGTGAAGGGGAGGTCAGTACTTGGAAGCATTTGACAAGTACAATGACAACTATACTAAGTATAATCGAAGTTTAAATCTCTGAGGCCCTCAATCTAGAGCATTATTACATTATAGTTCATCCGTTCATTTAGTATCAATTCATCATTATTTACTACGGTCTAGAGCCCAGCTCATAATCACCGTTATCTACTACGGTCTAGAGCCCCGCTCATAATCACCGCCATCTACCACGGTCTAGAGCCCAACTCATAATCACCGTCATCTACTACGGTCTAGAGCTCAGCTCATAATCACCGTCATCTACTACGGTCTAGAGCCCAGCTCATAATCACCGTTATCTACATCGGTCCCGAGCCCGGCTCATAATCACCGATTCTTTATAATTCACATTTTTAGGATCTAATTCATCCATTTCTCAACTAACATTCCCAACTAATATTTCAATGCTAGTTATTCATTTATTTCAATATAATTCTTCCTTCATGCATGATTGGCCTTAATATCAAGTATCACTTTCATACCTTCATGGCTTCTCCTCATGGTATCAAAGTATACTATCTCAAATGAAATTCATGGTTGGTACAACCATCATACACACATATTCATAACATCTAAACATACACAATTTATTCATAAATTTGTGTATCTGCATACTATACTTATAATCAATATATTAGCCGGGGATTATGGAAACTAGGGTGCTTTTAATTTATTTATGCTAAAGTATATATGTACATATTCGACTTTAGGAAAAGTTTTTTTTTATTCCGTATATTGTGGGATGCATTGACTACTCTGTAATTCCTAGCTACTTTATCTACAATACTTTCATTTAGAATACTTTCAATGGACTCTTAAGCAAGTCCATCAACATTTCACAATCTAATTAGTCTGCAAAATCAGTTAATTAACTTTTTTACTTCACCGTGACTAATTTAAAATATTATACTCATTTTGCTTTAATTTTTTGAATTGGTTTTCATGAATATATCTAAGTTTCAAAACCTCAAGGTTCATAGTAGTTTTGCTTAATTTGGTTCTAAAACATATTTAAAGACTAATTAAATACAACAACATCCAAGCCTTAGTCCCAAAAGATATTGGGGTCGACTAACATGAATCAATACATGATATCACCACCAAAAGGAAAAGAAAGGAAATAAAGAGATGAAAAAGATAAGCTATTATAAAAAGATAATATAAAAATAGATGAATATACATAAAAATGATAAAATAAAAAGGATACAAATAATGCTTATATATATGGATAAAAAACAAGGAAAAAAGATGAGAGAAAAAGATGATACGAGATCACTCCTCCACACGAATATCCGCCCTTCACTTAGCTCTCTCCAAAATCATGCCCTCATCCAACCCCAGAAGAAGCATATCACTTCGAACTCCCCTGACCCACGTCTGTTTGGGTCTTCCTATCCCTCTCTTCTCTGCCTCTTCTCCACACATCTCAACTCGTCTGACAGGTGCATCACTCGGTCTTTAGCACACATGACCAAACCACCGTAGGCGCGACTCCTGCATCTTGTCGATCTTCAATAGGTGCAACTCCCACCCTTTGTCTGATTGTCTCATTCCTCATGCGGTCCTTCCTAGTATGCCCACACATCCAACGCAGCATGCGCATCTCTTCCACACTCATCTTTTGAATGTGACATTGTTTCACCGCCCAACACTCTACGCCATACAGTAATGCAGACCTAATTGCCGTCCTATTAAATTTACCCTTCAGTCTAGTCGGCATACCTCGATCGCATAGAAATCCTGACGCACTCTTCCACTTCATCCACCCTGTTCTGATTCTATGGGATACATCTTCATCTAACTCACCGTCCTTCTGAATTATGGAGCCCAAGTAACGGAACATATCACTGACTGGTATCTCCTTACCATCCAGAGTAGTTCCGCTATTACTATTGCTTCTACCTCCACCAAACTTGCACTCCATGTACTCTGTCTTGCTCCGACTTAGTTTGAAACGCTTATTCTCCAATGTTTGTTGCCATACTTCCAACTTTGCTTTAAGACCTGATTGCGTCTCATTATTCAATACAATATCATCGGCAAACATCATGCATCACGGTATATCGTCTTGAATTGACTTCGTAAGTTCATCCATGACTAAAGCAAATAAGAAAGGACTCAGAGCAGATCCTTGGTGCACTCCAATAGTAATAGGGAACTCTGCGGTCCTCCCTACACTAGTGCGGACACTTGTAGTAAAGTGTACTCCACAGTAAAGTCAAATTTATTTTCTTAATATGTGTGAAGTCAAATGTGGAACTTGTTTTGGATTCGGAGGGAGTAGGTTACAAGGTTACACTCCACAACAAAATCCAAAATGTTCTTTCTCGTCTCATTCCTAGTGCCAAAACCATGTCCGTCATGAATACTCTCAAAGCCACCACGACTCGATCCCACATGCTCGTTGAGGTCACCTCCTATGATCAACTTCTCTCCCCTTGGCACTCGTCGCACCACGTCTTCAAGATCTTCCCAGAACTGTTGAGTTGTAGATGCATCCAATCCCACTTGTAGTGCATAGGCATTACCACAGACATAATCTCACCCCTTATCACCAATTTAATGCTCATCAAGCAATCGTTCTTCCTGAAGACTTCTGCCATATCCTCAACATAGTCACACGCCACAATAATGCCTACCCCATTTCTGGTCTTATCTCTCCCCGAATACCACAACTTAAAACCTCCGGGATTAATCTGGTGTGGTTTCTCTCCAACCCATTTAGTTTCTTGCACACACATAATGCTGATATTCCTTCTCCTCATAACCTCGACTACCTCGGAAGATCTGCCTGTAAGAGACCCAACATTCAATGTCCCAAAACGCAATCTAGCACTCCGCCTTATGTTCTTAGCCCCATCTCGGACCCCACCATGCCCTTGCATATTTGACATCATCCCCGTGCAATGGGATGACGCGCTGCTTCCAGGCGGCGACCTAGCAACCTTAGCATTCTTATCACCACACTCAGGTCTATGAAGTGTAGTGCGCCCTTGCATATTTGACACCACCCCCAGGCGGAGGGATGATGCGTCACTTACGGGTGATGACCTAGCATTAGCGATATTCATATTTCGATTCATGTCATGTGATGTGACTAGGTGATACTTTTGGCCGTCACATGCCTTCCACAACACCTGTCACGCCCCACACCGCGTCTATGCCACGTAGACAATTGTCGTACAACCCAATAAGAATAACCGCAATTCATCCTTACTAAATTGCACAAGACGTCCGATAGATACGTATACCAAAACCGATTAGTAAACATACATAACAACATTAACATACAATTAAACACAGTGGAATATAAGTGTTTAATAAGAACCCACACAAGGGTAAAACTAGAGCTCGCGGGCTCCATTAATTTATAAGTCAAAAATAGTTCCATGAGCAATATTTATTTGTTTAGAAATAGAACCGGAGGAAGCACGAACCACGTCTTCTCTCCATCGATCTCCAAAACAACGGGTGCAGGAAGTAAGCTCTAGCTTCAACCTGAAATGGTAGTTCCCCCGAGGGATCAGTACTACAGAAAAGTACTGGTGAGGGCAAACTGTATGTAATATAACTAACGTTTTTCACATGGGACCCTCAACATAGGGTGATAGTATATGTATAGGCAACTCTTGGCTACCCCTTTTCAAAACATATTGTATACATATATACATATGAGTAAAATATCCGGCTCGTGGTCCCATTTGTGTTTCAAATCATTTAGACATAATAGCCCAATTAAATTCACCTTTCCCATGCCTTACCCTCAGGTGGGGTCACCCGTAGGCTAACCCACCTGATCTCAAAATATAAATACTCGTGGGTGGCCCTTGGGCTCCCAAATCACGAACATCATTTATATCACTCCCTAACCCAAGGAAATATTGTATCGGGAACTCGTTCCCGACCAAGCATATTCATTCAATCATTTAAAGTTATTACCCTGAGGTTCACCTACCTCGAGTACTACTAGTCCTTACTATTATAGTTTACATTCGCGGGGCTAACCCTGTCTTGAGGAGTACGCATACACCCTCGTCCTACGTGTAATTTGCTGGAGGTTAACACACCTCAAGGACTAGACGCGCCCTTGTTACTTATATGCAATTTGATGGAGAATACCATACCTCAAGGTCTGCATTTTCCGTTGTTACCTATGTGTAATTTGCTGGAGGTTAACACACCTCAAGGACTACACAGGCCATTGTTACCTATATGCAATTTGATGGAGGTTAACACACCTCAAGGACTGCATTTGCCCTTGTTACCTATGTGTAATTTGCTGGAGGTTAACACACCTCAAGGGCTACATGGGCCCTTGTTACCTATATGCAATTTGATGGAGGTTAACACACCTCAAGGACTGCATTTGTCCTTGTTACCTATGTGTAATTTGCTAGAGGTTAACACACCTCAGAGACTACATGGACCCTTGTTAACATTTGAGTATAAAAGACTCCTCCCGGTCCTATAAAGTATTACCTGACCTTACTCGGTCCCGGATATTCACCCGCCATGTATAATCTACCACTTACCGAGCTCGCCCGGTCGTGGTCTATAATTTCTTTACTAACGACCAATCCAAGTCTTAGCATTTAAAATGTATTCCAAGCCTTAGCATTTTAAGCAACATATTTCATGCAATTCCATGTAAAATATTCATATATAGGATGGCATAGATTAATCCCACATCGAACCGGGTCCGATTTGGGTTTTTAGCAAAAACCGGTCCTGAAAGCCGAGACCGGACCAGCGCCGGTTCACTGACTGACCGGCGCTGGTTCGCTGATTTAAATTTAAATACGGAACACCGTACTCAAACCGGCGCCGGTTCATTCACTGACCGGTGCCGGTCCACTGTGTTGGACCGGGTCAACACCTCGTTGACCGCCCAAAACGACTCCGATTTCTCTGAAACTTAAATACAACATGTATTAAGTCATAAACAATCATTATATGTCATTTTGGTCACTCAAAACATTTCTTATGTTTTTATAATATTCCAATTCATTTTCATGTATTATGCTCTAGTCTATTTCTCATAAACTAGATTACTTTCATAACTTGCATGATTATGCACTTTTAATTCTTCTCAAGAATACCATCTTGAATCCCTTTTATTCATTTCATAAAATGAGCCATTGATGGTCATTATCCAATTGGAATATTATATTCACAAAAATTATTAATCAGGTCGTTTATACTAGTTAATCATTCTTGTATATTACTCTAGTTTATTTCTCATAAAGTAGATTATCTTAGTAGCACCTGTAGTTAAGAATTTCTTAATTCTTCACAAGAATATTACTTGAATTACTTTGGTCATTTCTCAAATGAGTCAACAAAACATTTATATTAATTAATTATAGCTTGTATATTTCCCTAGTTTATTTCTCATAAACTAGTTTTACTTTAGTGACTTACATGGTTTAATACTAGAATCCTTCACAAGAATATCATCTTGAATTTCCTTATTCATTTTCTCAAATAATCATTCATGATTATTCTTCATCAAGAATATTAATTATTCTTTACTCATTAGGTAATCATGCCACTTTCACTTAATTTATTATCAATGTTGTTAATCACGTGTTTAAACACTTTTAAACATTTCTATACATATTCACATACTAGATTACTCTAGTTGTCTCATACATAGTCCATGTATGCATTTTTATACATTTGAAAATAATATATTCATGATAAATCCACAAATAAATCTCTTAATCATTAACCATGTAATATTTCCATAATTCATATCCACCATGACTAATTATGCATTTTAATCATTTTAATCATTTCTCAAATCATGATTATGATTTTATTTAGATAATTTCACGCTTGACCCAAGAGTCACAAGACACGTAGTCGTCCACTCACCTCGAAATGACGCTAGCATGCTTTTATCCTCTTCGTTTGAACTCCGGCGACTTTTGGAATTTTCTGGCGAAAACTCCGGCGGCTCCGGCGACTTTTCCAGCCACTCCTAGATTCTTTGAGAAGTCTATAATACCTTGGTAAAATTCCTAACAAGGTTTCATAAACCAAAAGTGGTATAAATATCAAAACCTTCTGAGAAGGTGTTTACCGGCGAACCGGTCTTACTCCGGTCATAGCTCCGTTCATGGTTAAAAATAACCTTCCAACCACTCATTCTACACCTCAAGGAGTGTAGAACAAGCTTATGGTCTATCATATGATTTATAAAATCATATGAGATTAAAATGGAGGAGGAAAAATACTAATGAAATCATTACCTCGATTTTCCCAAGTTTTTCATCACTTATACTAGCTTTTCTTCTTCCTTGAGCCACCTCTAACCTTGAGCTCGGTTCTTGGACATGGAGATGAGATGTTGGAGACTTCCCCTCTCCTTTTTGGGTGGTATGGCCGAAGTGGATAGGGGAGAGATGGAGGAGCCCTTCCTCTTTCGTCATACATGCCATTATAATGGGAGGAGGGTCCCTTTACCTATCATGTGTGTCTCTCACATCCCCTCACACATCACACACCTCACTCTCATGATCTCAACACTTATTTTTAGACTCAAATCGTGGGTGGACCCCACATCACTTATTCTAATCCATGAAATCTTTTTTGGAAACAACCTAAGAAGAAAATCTTTATTTTTTTAAAAAAAAAGGGAGACAAGATCCTTTCAGTTTTTAAACTGTCAATTTTTTTTGGGAAGACACTGCCACACAACCGGCCACTTCCTATTTGGAAGGAAATCATTAAAAAAAATTTGGGAAGTGGGAAAGTATCTCGTATACCAACACGCCGCCCACTTCCATATTAAAAAACCTTCCATAACCTCCTCCCTCTTCTCCTTCTTAAAACCGCTATGGTCAAAACCAGAGGCTATGCTCCTCCAACTGCTCCTCGTCGTTCTAGCCGGAAAAGAAGCGTACAACCACCCCCACCTTCATCACCTACCCTGATTGAACTCGAAGCCTCACCTCCTTCGACCATGCACTCCGAATCTGGTGACTCCTTACCACCATTCCCGGCGTCCTCTCAGGGGGAACAAGATAAAGACTCTCCATCACCAATTAAACCTCCCAAAGGAAAACCACCAACTCGCGACGGAAAGGTGCTGCCCCAAAAGTACACCCGGAAAAGAGCAATCGCTGAGGGAATCATCTCCGAAAAGGGCTCCACCAAAAAATATCCAACGATGGGGAGGGTAGTCGAGGAAGACGCCGCACGACTCAAGGAGGAATATCTCTCCCGGGGAATAGTTAAGGTACTCTCCATCTCCTCTGGTGATATTACTCGAAAAACCTCTGATTTTACTGAGCTTGTTTCGTTCCAAAAATGGGAAACCTTGTTTGATTCCCAGAATTGCCCCTCTGTGTTTCCTGAACTCATCTCAGATTTTTTCGCTAATCTTATTATCAAAGACAGTTTCTTATCCTCAAAGGTACAAGGCACAAAAATTCTGTTAAATGTGAGTGATCTAGGTCAAATATTGGGTGTTCCATGTACTGGTATATGCCAATATAACAAAACCGAGTGGCCCCTAACCGACACCTCTCAAACAGTTGCACTGGAATATTTTAACCCAACCATTTCTGAATCCTCTCTTCATGTTGCGAGCCTTGCACCAATTCCCAAACTACTGTTCTACTTTGTTCATCACAACTTGATTCCTAGGCTAGAAGGGAGATTCACACCCTCTAGAGTTGAACTGGCATATATGTACCTTTTGGCCAACAAAGTTCCTATCAACCTTCCTGGATTGATGATGGCCCATCTAAGTTCTATCATCAGTTCCTCATCCCGAAGGATTGGGATTCCATATGCCCCACTACTCACCAAAATATTCCTATCTAAGGGCATTACTCTAGACAAATTCTCCTCTGAAGAAGCTTGCAAGGTCCTGGACAAGAGATGTCTCAGCAATCTGGGACTAATTATATCAAATTCTCACCTACTTCCTAAACCAATAGATCCCTCTTCTTCAGAACAAAAACCCAGACCCAAACCAACTCCTGTTCCTTCCATCGACCCAATGATGGTGGTACCCCCAATCACTGACCGCATAGATCTCCTGGAACGATATATTCAACACCAATTTGCTTCCCTTTCAGACTCCATCTCTGCATTGGCAAAAAAGGTGGACATACTGGCTGATACAACCAATGCTATTCGGAATGATTTCCAATCCTTCAAACAGGAAGTGGCGGAGCGGCTCTGTGAATCTGGCTTGACTAATCGAAGTATAATTTATTCTTCTGAGGATGATTAAACATTTCTTTTCTGGGGGAGGGTTTTTGCTACATTACCATCTTAACAAGCTGTCCTACTTTGAAATTTTACTTAGCACTGTTTTGGTTATTTTCTGTTTCCTTTTGGTTGATGCCAAAAGGGGGAAATAATCAGGTGCCTGCTTGTTTTGCTACATAAAAACACCGACTGTTACTAATCTGCAGGGACACCTTTATTATGACACCTAATGTTTGTCATCAACAAAAAGAGGGAATTTGTTGAATATGTTGTTTTGTTGATGACTAACCATGTAGGTGGAACGGCGGACAGAACTGCTCTGAGTTCTATTAGGAACGAAAATTAGAACTATACTTAGTTCTGATCTATGTGACTGATTGTTGTGCATAATGAATAAATTAATTGATATGTGCCTGAATGATAATACCTTATCTACGTGCCTAGATTGATCATGCATATTCTTAATGTATGTGGCACAATTTAAATATCTTTCCATGCATGACTAAGCACTCACCTTTATGAGTTGGCCTATATAGCTTTATAGCTTATGGAAAGAATCATTGCTTATGCTACATAAATATCCTGCATCAATTGACCGTAGCATATTTGGATCCACTAAGTAAATATTTCCTTATCACTTTTTTGGAAAGTATCTTGGCTTGCATGATCTGTAGCACCTTATTTGAATATCTTACTTATATGATCGTTGCATATTCAAATTTGTTAAGAGAACTAATCATTGATTGTATAAAAATGTTATTGCTACATAATGTCCGTTGCATGCTTATATTAAGATAAAAAAGTATTTCCCTTTATATGTGATGATATATATTCATGTGGAATTGTCATTGAAATACGTAATATACTCCATATCTGTTTTGTTATTGAGTGATTTACTCATAGTATGCACGTATCCACTTACTTCCATATATATATGGTTGACCGAGGATCACCATATTGGTGAGCCGGAAGATCTTTGAATAAAAGGAAAGGAGAGGCTACGGATGCTATATATATTGGACTGAAGACCAGACGAAAGAGTGTGCTTGACCAAGCTTCTATTGAGAAATATACACGAGAATATTTACTAAGTCCAAGGCACCTGAACCTGCTCACGGAGTTCCAAACAGAGTTTCTTTTTCCCTTCTTCATATTGTAATTGGGTTTTAGAGGATTGACTAAGTGTAGCATCCTCGGGTTAATTAGTGTGTTGTGAGAGCTTTGTTGTAAAGCTGAGAGACTCTCTACCCACAAGGTAGAGAAGCATAACTCTTCCTAGAGAGGATAGAGTTGGGGTGGCTCAAGGGTAGACTAGGAGAGTTTCCCTTGTAATCATTCAAAGGCCAAGGGATATGGCAAGTGAAGTTGTTCAAATTCCTCCGAGGGAGGTCGAGGTTTTTTAATCCCTTTGAGCCAAGGGATTTTTCCTCGTTAAATCCTTGTGCACTTTATTATTTCGTAATTCCCTAAACCCCACACTAGAATTATGCGAAAAACTGTCACGGTTCCACACACACACAATTCACCCCCCTCTTGTGTTGCTAACCGTTTCATCACATGGAGATGAGATGTTGGAGACTTCCCCTCTCTATTTTTGGGTGGTATGGCCGGGAGAGATGGAGAGACCTTCCTCTTTGGTCTTACATGCCATAATAATGGGAGGAGGGTCGCTTTACCTATCATGTGTGTATCTTCCATCCCCTCACACATCACACATCTCACTTTCATGAACTCAACACTTATTTTTAGACTAAAAATCGTGGGGTGGCCCCCACTCATGTGGGAGGTCATTCCTATATGTCCTGAAATGTATAATCGGTCTCGAAAGTTGTATTTTTCGGATCGTTTTAATTAAATTTTATTTTATTGGGCCAAATAAAATATATATCATTCTTCCAATTAATATTGGACCTAGAATGAATATACTATTATCCAACTTTAATTTCGTGGTTCTCGGAACTTATTTTGGGTTGTTATCTATTAAATAACTAATACTGGTAACGGGACTTCGTTTGCTCAATAGGCCAACTCTAGGGCTCAACATTAAATTATACGATCATATTAATATTATCCATACCAAGGCGACTATAATATGTGGTCTGTAGATTACAGATGGTCCCTGTCCATGTGTGGGTCCGACGTGCATTTTACTGTACAAATAACCGTAAAAATGAGAATACGTTGCCTCGAAAATTCACTCGTCATTTCTCATGACGTAATATGTGGTTTTATATTTTGTGAAACTTTAATAAAATGTTACACTTCCTTTTTACGTTGTCCGATATGTATGAACAGATAAAATCGCATCTCTTTGTTTGATATGCACTAATTAGTAGTGCATAAATGTATGTTTTTATGTTTGATTGATGTGTATTGTTTATCGTTTTATTTAGTTTGTAAACATTTGTGTGATTTTAGTTGTAATTGTATTTTAATCTTCATTTGTAAGTTGTAAAGTAGAATTAGAAATTATGTTGTTGAAAAGGATGACTTAGAAGTGAAGAAAAGGAGGTTTTACTGCCCAGGAGCAAATACCCGACCGGGTAGAAGACTTCACCCGGTCGGGTCTGATTCAACAAACGAAAATACCTGGAAAGTGCACTCACCCGGTCGGGTCCCCTACCCCACCCGGTCGGGTCTGACTTGACCCAGGATACTTTAACATGCCGAAGATCACCAGAACGTGGAGAATATTTGATTTTGACATGCACCCGGTCGGGTGGGCACTTTACCCGGTCGGGTACCCGACCAAAGGTGTTGTAAAACACCTATAAATAGCCCCATTTTGCTTCACTTTGAGAAATCCTTTCTTCCATACTCCTAAGCTCAGTTTAGAATAGCATTTCTTATATTTTTATAGCATGTTTAGTCTCCAAATGAGGAGCAAAACCCTTCCATCTTGGTTTTGCTACTTTGAAGCTTAATGAATTTGTAAGTTGTGAGTTATTTTCTTTAATCTTCTTCCTTGAATATTAATTCTTCCTTTCAAATACTATTTCTATATCAAAGTTGGGGAGTGTTACTAAGATGACAATTAGTTAACATCTTGAAATTGGTTATAGTAATAGTTATTTCTTCCTTTACGTTAATATTGGGGAGTGTTACTAAGATGACAATTAGTTAACATCTTGATGTTAATCATAGTAGGATTCATATTCTTTAATATTCTTACTTGAATATTAATTAATTCCTATTCATATTTCATATTAATATTTTGAACATTACTTAAAGTATCAACTAGTTTTGCTTCTCATATTA